TACTCTATCTATCTCCGTGCCTTTTTCTTACAAGTTTTTACGTATGTATGGATTTAATTTAATGTACAGCAGAACATAAATTGTATTTCACCATCGCTTTTTTTATTAGCGGCAAATTCGTTTTGAAATACGAATTATTTTTAAAAACTTTATAACGTAGGCGCGAGTAAAATAATAAAATAATATTATTCATAAGTTCCCTACGACATTGAAATGATTAATTTTCTAAAAATAAATACTTATTTCAAAAATAATTGTGTGCATTCGTAGCAATCGCCGAATATACTCATTAATAAATCGCAACAAACAAGACAAAAAAAATATCACTTCGAATTCGAAGATTGGAAGGGAGCAATGGTGTATCTTTTCTAAATGAGTTTTTAAATGTTGTTCGATCAGAATTATCTAAATTTCCGCGCGTCTTATATTTGTTTTACGTACATTTAAAAATTTTTCACTTTGTATTTACGTTTTCTTCACCACAAGTGTTTGGATATTGCCGGACAAGGTGAAAGTATTATCAGTTTTGTTGTTTGTACACATTTTTTAAATTCATGGATGCTTTTCTAACCTAAATTGAAAATCGCTGAATTCCTTTGCTAATTTTTCTGTTCTAATTGGCTGCACGGAACAATCGACAATCAGACCGTAATCACTAATCAGTCCACTAAATCAAAGCACCCAGACACAGCCGACGCGATCTAACCGTACAAACGAGTTTTTAATTTTGCTGGAAGGCACGTATCTAGATATCACATAGCTCGTGACTATAGAAATAACAGTTCTGAAGAAAATGGAAAAATTGGAAAAAGCCGTAGAATTAAAAAAAAATATTCGAATTAATACCTTTAAAATTAAGTACAAATCGGGATCTTCAACACTGAAAACTAGTCAAGTACAGCACAAATTAATAAAAGTGTATTTAAAACAAAAGAAAAAAAAGACTTAATTTTTCATTAGTAATCAATGACAAGAAACAAGATATCAGTTCGCTGTAACTAAAAAAAACACCCACTTCAATTGTTTTTTAAATCAAATTTCAACATAATAGAAAACGAAAAATCCGAGCTCAGAAAAAAATTGTGCAAATTCAATTAAAGAAAGTAGAGTACATTGATCAAGTCTTCTGAGCACACGTCTGATGTTTGAATGTTCTGACTCCAGACCAAAATGCTCTTGGCGATCCTGAACTTATTCAAAATTTTTGTCCGCCCGCTTCTTCAAAACGTGGAAAAGGTATGGTGACTTTTAATTAACATAATTTTTAAAGGTTATTTACATAACTTTTAATTTTTAATATGTTTGTGTTGGCAAGCTTAGTGACTAAATAACCTTTTATATCTTTCATTGCAACATAAATTTGTTTTTCCGAATTTCCCAGTTTTGTTTGCCAATTTCTTTGGGGCAAAAACATTTTTTTTCAACACACAATTTTTTCAGATAATTGTGTGTTGAACTCTATTCGTACACACTGTTTTAACGAACTGGTCTGTAATTCATAAAATATCCAAAACTATGGACATAAAAGCAATTATTATAGGATTACCAGTTTTATTCGTTAATTTTTTCATTTCGTTGAATCTATGAAAAATGGAATCTCCAATAAACACAATTACATAAAACAATCAAAGGAAACCCAGAATTCCCTTACAGCAACTTACAGAAAAAAAATTGTAAATATCTGAATCTTCTAAACTAGGAAGAATTGAAAGTGACAACAATTGTAATATCTTTACAATGATAAACCGCCCCATTTCTCACATGATTTACATCTGCGTCTATCTTCAACCAATACTACACTTCAATTAAATCAAACACATTAATAAAATTGGGCCCCAATTTCGAAATTGATAACACGAACATCTAATCTAATTCAGATGATATTTTGGTAATTATACATTCATTCCTAATTTATCTATGACAGCTATCTCCTCTGAACAATTTGTTTTTTTTATTCACGTCCTTATCTCAGTCATTAAATAACGAATCTAATTAAAGTGCACTAGTTTATCGTAAAAATTTAAAAACTGAAAAATTAGAGCATTAGCAATAAGAAAAAAATCCAGGACCAGCATGCATGTTGCGAGTGTATCACAAAAAATGAATATTGCGCCTTCAGACCAGTCCTGCAGATACTACAGATTTCAACCCATTAGAGCATTCGCAGGGCAATATGAGTAGGCAACTTAGATTTGCCAATCCTTATCTGTGCATGTTTTAGAGATGTGGTTCCCAAACTTTTTGAACTTGTGACTTTCCCCCTTTCTATTAAAAGTTTAAATACTTTTAAATGAAATAATGAAAATTTTAACCAAAACGGAAGTGCACCGGTCACATTCTGACAACTGTTCATCAAGTAGGATCGCACATATAAAGGATGTTATTTAAAAACCTGCCACAAAGAAAACACAAATGTTAGAGATCTAATCACTTTTGATTGGAAAGAAAACAATAATATCGTGAGTTAGATAGATTTTTGTACCTAATGGTTTTCTTAAATTTTCTAAGAACCACGTTAAAGCAAATTAATAAATATACTACTGCATAACTAAAGTACAAACTGTAGATTTAAGAAATTAGTATTGGAGAAACATTGATTTCACGATTATTTTTTTTAAACATGTAAAATAAACTTATGTTATTATATTTTGTAAACATTTTAGAGACACCTGCATTCTCTATCTATTCACACTTTGGGAACCACTATTTTAGAGAAATATTTAATAACATAGACCAACAAAGGAATAACATCCGGTTTCGAAGTTGTTGACTTGAAGCTGCCTCCATTGATTTTCTTTCTTCTAATCAAATACCTTATATCACTAAAATTACAATTTAGACAAACACGGAGATAGAACAATCCAATAATCAGCCGACATTATATTTAATCGAATTATACAGGGTGTCCCGAAATTCATGCAACAAAATTTGGTCACAGATTCTTAAGACGAATTTAGGGGACCCGTAGTTTTTATTTTTGCCAAGTGGCCCACTCTTTCGGAGTTACGGCCCCCTGAAGTCCGCCCTTAAGAATAATCTTTTTTTTATATCTCAGAACCCTGTTGTACGAGAATCACTAAATTTGGTACACAGTGGTTTTATGATATGTGGAATCTGATGGTGCTACATTTTTTGACGGGGAACCCCCCTTAAGACAATTTTTCGTGGACCCCCTTGTCTTTGGAGCCAAAAAAATTTGGTCGCATATTTAAATTTCTTAAAAATTATCAGTCCACTAGAAAGCCATTAAATTTTGAAACTTTTTGTCTCTATACTTTTTTCGTAAACGCGATGTTTTTGAGAAAAATGTCAAAATGTGATCGAATGCATATCGTGATTCGCCATTTTCCTCAAAAACATTGCGTTTTACGAAACAAATATCAAGAGACAAAAAAGTTTCTAAATTCAATGGCTTTCCAGCTAACTAATAATTTAAAAAAAAATCAAATTTGAGACCAAATTTCTCTGGTTCCAAAGACAAGGGGGCCCACGAAAAAGTGTCTTAAGGGGGTTGCCCTCCAAAAAGCGTAGCACTGTCAGATTCCACATATCATAAAACCCCTATGTTCCAAATTTAGTGATTCTCGTACATGGTTTTGAGATATAAAAAAGACTTCTTAGGGGCGGATTTCAGGGGGCTGTAACTTCGAAAGAGGGGGCCAGTTCGCAAAAAGAAAAAATACGGGTCACTTAAATTTGTCTTAAGAATCTATGACCACATTTTGTTGCATGAATTTCAGAACACCCATTTAGTTTTCTTTTGTTTTTTTTTAAAGCCTATTTTATGTGGATCGAATTTATTTTGTTCTAAAATTATTTTTGTATTTTTTTTTAAAGGTGTAACTTTGTGTGGAGGTCATATTTATACAGAAGCTCCCTATGACCTTTAGAAACAGGTATCAATATTTTATTTTTTCAAATTCTGTCCTAAAAATTTAATTTTTTTTTAATCTTTTTTTTTTAGTAGTTTAGAGTTACTTCTGTTGAGTGGGTGTTCATCATACAAACAAGTAACCTGGCAAAAACCTCAAGCAGTAATCAATAATGATAAATGAAATACACAACAATAAATAGTCTGTTGATGACTTCCAGCGATGAAAACATTCAAATTCATAGTTAGATGTACTGTCTACGCTTCGTCACCGTTTACCGGCACTATCTACCTTCACATGCATTGTAGATTGCCTACAATTCATGTACATATTTGTAATACATGATTACAGTGGTGGCATATACAAGTATTAGACTGGATTTTAAAAAACTGATTATAACTCGACTATTTATTTCATTATTAAAAAAATTTCAGTTTCGTATTCAGGGGAATACGTACTATTACCCCTAAAAAAAATCACCCCCACTTAAAGTTACACCCTGTATACAGAATAAACTTGTTTCACGATAGTACTTATTCGTTTAAATAATTTTTCAATCACCCAAAAAAATTTTTCGACAAATCGAATTCTTAATTTTTAATTTAAAGCCTTTGACTTCGGAAACTACAACATTTTCGCCTGAGGCGCATTTCTCTATTTTTTCCCCTACCCGTGTGAGTCCTGCTAATATTTCTATATCTGGCAACTTTACGAAAAAGTTGCACAAAAACATGGACTAACGATTTTAAAAATCATTTTAAACTAGAAAAGGAAAATATTGAAGTACATATGTGAACGATAATATTGTCTCAAGTTATTTATTTTTGTTTCAGCGTTTTGTTTTGTCAAAATGGTGAGGTTAGAAAATAATCAGAGTGTTTGTTTAATTTTTTTATTCCATCGATCTCATTAGTGACGTAATTTTTCAATGTAATTCATAAATTCATTGAACTTTTTCCCAACAAATAAAAAATCTTGCCTTTATAATTGAGAAAAAATTAAAAAAAATCAACTTTGAAATCGAGACCCATTTTTTGTGATATATTAATTTTCACGCCAAGTATACACATCACGTTCATAAAATAAGCTATTCCAGGACTAAAAAACGATATTAATAAACATACTCACCATTATTCGACGCATCTGGAGGCACAGGGGACGAAACGGGCAGGGGCACCGAAGGGGCGCTCTCGCAGGAATCAGCAGCAGGCGCCTTCGGTTCCACCTTACTCTCCTTCTTCTGGCTCTTCTTCTCCTGGTTCGTGGCCTCCTTGATGGGTGGCGGTGCCTGCGGGAGGTTCGTTGCAGCCATCGGGATAGCCACATCTTTCGGTTTCGCCTCCGACTCTTTGGAGACGACAGGCTGTTTGTCGACCTCCTTGCTAGGGACGTGCTGCTCCTTCGCCGACTCTTTGTGTTCCTTCACGGCCTGCTCCCTCTGCTTGCGGCTCTTCACGGGGCTCTCCCTGTCCTTGGGAGACTTGTTGGGTAATGTTACCTCCACGGCATCACAGTTCGCCGACACGATCGGTGTCTCTTTGGCAGAATTGGGCAGAACGAATTCTTTCGCCTGTACCTGCGAAAAATACCATCTCTAAACATCCCTACGTTTACAGTTTTTAAATATTTTTTTAAAACGGTAGTTTCCATGGATAAATGACCAGACATTTAAATGTACACAGTGACTTAGAGGTGATGATTGACCGCCATTACATGAAAACTGAAAAAGCAAATAGAAAACTGCAAGCGGAGATCTTTGTAGCAGCATTATATTGAACTATTGAAGTTAAAATTCAATTTTTGAAAGTTTTCCGCATTATTTAACCCAATTTCACATGTTACTAATCATATTAGTGCCTGTTATTGTCTCTCTTATTAAAAAAGTTTTTAGATATCTCTGCCCATTCAAAAGATAGATATAAGGCGATATGTTAGTGAAAAACACTGATTTGATCAAGTCTGTTACTGATTTTACCAGTGTTGCCGCGGAAAACCAGATACTTCATTATTGGCATAAATCATTTATCTCTATAAAATTACTACTTATTTTGATTATTCCAGAGTATTTTAAAAAAATCTGGAACAAATCTGCTTTTTCGGTAGATAGCTTTTTAATAAACAGACTACATTACTGTCAAAGTACCGACTACAAATCGGAAGATATGAATCGCAATGACAACATCATGTAAAATAGTTATTTTGTTTTAAAAAGTAGTGTCAGAATTACTGTATGTATTATAATTCATATTCTAAGAATGTTTAATTCAAACTGAGCTCGGAAAGTGAAGACGAGACGATTTACCAGGAGAAGTATTGGAAGCGGCATTAAAGTGTTGTTTCATAATTAATCCCCGAACAATAGTGGAGACAGTACCAGATTGCGTACAACGAACTCAAAGGGTGGTGTAGTTTGAAGAAAATTCAAAAAGTGTACGAAACGGTATTAATGGCATATTTCGAACATAAAATTAATAAAATTAAACCTTCGACGTTATGGTCAGTACATTCCATGTGAAAAAGTACACCGAATGCCAAAAGAAGTGTAAATATCAGAAAATTTCCAAAACTAATACCATATTTGAAAAGGAAATCAGTTAGACACCGTCCGAAAAAGTCTAGAATTCCTGACGAAAGAGGAAATTGAGAGATTTTTACAAGAAGCACCTTGATAATAGATTTCTGCTAGAAAAGGTAATTCAAATTAATATAATTCGATCGATTTAACTAATTTTGGACAACTTTTCAGGTTATTTTAATAGGTGGTGTCTGTGAAGCTTTGAGAAGAGATGAGCTACTAAAGATAACGATCGATGATATAGAAGACAAGATTCGATTATTATTATAAAAACTCATACTCGGGGATGTTTTGTGATTCAGACCGAACGAAGTCGAAGATTTTTTGTGAAGTATGTCAGGGGAAAATGTGTTAACCAAGTGGTTGACGTCAACAAAATAAGGAATGTGCCAAAAAAAATAGCAACTTATCTCAATTTGCCTCATCTGGAAACTTATACAGGGCACTACTTTAGACGTTCTTCCGCCACTGTTAGCCGATGCAGGGGCCGATATTACCGCCATTAAACGACATGGAAGTGGCGTTCTAGTACAGTAGGGGAGTCATATACAGGGCGGGCCATTAGTGTGAGAAAGTGAATTAACTCCCTTNCCTACGTTTACAGTTTTTAAATATTTTTTTAAAACGGTGGTTTCCATGGATAAATGACCAGACATTTAAATGTACACAGTGACTTAGAGGTGATGATTGACCGCCATTACATGAAAACTGAAAAAGCAAATAGAAAACTGCAAGCGGAGATCTTTGTAGCAGCATTATATTGAACTATTGAAGTTAAAATTCAATTTTTGAAAGTTTTCCGCATTATTTAACCCAATTTCACATGTTACTAATCATATTAGTGCCTGTTATTGTCTCTCTTATTAAAAAAGTTTTTAGATATCTCTGCCCATTCAAAAGATAGATATAAGGCGATATGTTAGTGAAAAACACTGATTTGATCAAGTCTGTTACTGATTTTACCAGTGTTGCCGCGGAAAACCAGATACTTCATTATTGGCATAAATCATTTATCTCTATAAAATTACTACTTATTTTGATTATTCCAGAGTATTTTAAAAAAATCTGGAACAAATCTGCTTTTTCGGTAGATAGCTTTTTAATAAACAGACTACATTACTGTCAAAGTACCGACTACAAATCGGAAGATATGAATCGCAATGACAACATCATGTAAAATAGTTATTTTGTTTTAAAAAGTAGTGTCAGAATTACTGTATGTATTATAATTCATATTCTAAGAATGTTTAATTCAAACTGAGCTCGGAAAGTGAAGACGAGACGATTTACCAGGAGAAGTATTGGAAGCGGCATTAAAGTGTTGTTTCATAATTAATCCCCGAACAATAGTGGAGACAGTACCAGATTGCGTACAACGAACTCAAAGGGTGGTGTAGTTTGAAGAAAATTCAAAAAGTGTACGAAACGGTATTAATGGCATATTTCGAACATAAAATTAATAAAATTAAACCTTCGACGTTATGGTCAGTACATTCCATGTGAAAAAGTACACCGAATGCCAAAAGAAGTGTAAATATCAGAAAATTTCCAAAACTAATACCATATTTGAAAAGGAAATCAGTTAGACACCGTCCGAAAAAGTCTAGAATTCCTGACGAAAGAGGAAATTGAGAGATTTTTACAAGAAGCACCTTGATAATAGATTTCTGCTAGAAAAGGTAATTCAAATTAATATAATTCGATCGATTTAACTAATTTTGGACAACTTTTCAGGTTATTTTAATAGGTGGTGTCTGTGAAGCTTTGAGAAGAGATGAGCTACTAAAGATAACGATCGATGATATAGAAGACAAGATTCGATTATTATTATAAAAACTCATACTCGGGGATGTTTTGTGATTCAGACCGAACGAAGTCGAAGATTTTTTGTGAAGTATGTCAGGGGAAAATGTGTTAACCAAGTGGTTGACGTCAACAAAATAAGGAATGTGCCAAAAAAAATAGCAACTTATCTCAATTTGCCTCATCTGGAAACTTATACAGGGCACTACTTTAGACGTTCTTCCGCCACTGTTAGCCGATGCAGGGGCCGATATTACCGCCATTAAACGACATGGAAGTGGCGTTCTAGTACAGTAGGGGAGTCATATACAGGGCGGGCCATTAGTGTGAGAAAGTGAATTAACTCCCTTATTATTCATAATACAGAAAAAAAAGTTTATATAAAAGTTGTACAGAATCAAAAAGTTTTAAGGACAAAATTAATTTGAAACACACAGGGCGATGAGTAAAATCGAGACATGCCAAATATTACATTTTTTAAATGGAACACCCTGTATATTTTTAAACATACCGATTTCTAAGAAAATTCTATATATGGCAACATAAACAGTTTAACATTTTAATGCGGTGTTGCCAAGTTATGCAGAAAATTCTTCGAATTTTGGGAAAAACACGACTTCGAAGAAGTTGTATTAACTTTCAACTACTAACACTTGGAGCAAAAATATTTAACAGAGTTATAGGCAAATGTTATGCAAAGACTCTTATATTAGCTAATGTTGATATTTTATACAGGGCATTTTTATAATACGATAATTTTAAGAAAGTTCAAACTTGATTTTCTAAAATTTTTCAAATGGAACACCCTGTATTTTATTTACATATCAGTCCACTTCAACTTTTATTAAGTATGTTCTCCACATAAAGTTGTTTTAGTGTTTAAAATATAGCAACATTTCTGGAAAAACCTAATTTTTATTATTTTTGGTCGCACGAAATGCTTTGGAAAAAACTGTCACATTGTGTCAACATGTCAGTTCATAATTTACCATTCCATTTTGAGTTAATTTTATTAGTTAATATTTATTTGTGGTGTTCTATAAAATAATAAATACCGATTAAAAAATTTTCTCAATGGAATAGTCAAAAACAAATTTACCAGAAAATATCGTAACATACTGACTTCAACTTAGCTTCTAATTAGATGACCCAGATCGGGTAATATGAAAAAAAAAAAACGACAACTTTTCATAGTAAAAAAAAGGGAGTACGATTGCAAACAAATGATACATTTTGCCTTCGTTAGAAGCTGGACATAAAAAATTAATTTTATCCTAACGTGAATTGTGTAGCAACATAGATTTATGAGCAAGTAAAAAATAAATTGATTTGAATTTATAATAAATAATAATCCAACATTGCAGCCTTGAAACTGTTGCTGGGAGAAAAAGTGTGTTAGATTAAGAGAATTATCTGTTGAAGACAAATATTTGTAACTCGTACTGGTTTTACGACAACGTCCCACCACAATCAACACGCCCAAGAACTGATAATTAATTAACAAATTTAGAAACAACAAAACTACATTCAAGAATTGCGAGTTTAATTTTGTAACGAGTACACAGAAATCAAAAGCAAAATATTCTGGGGATAATCTTTTAAAAAAAATTAAGACACAAATCATACACCTTTGGGCGCTTGACAATCTGGAACATTTAAGTGATTCAAAGTTTATGTTAACACTTCTACACAGTTGAAGAGTGAAAAATTGAGTATTTAGGAGAAAACGGATATGGGAAGTCATCTTTGCAAATTAAAAAAAAATAATTAACAATGATCTAAAAGTCACCTTACCATTTCTCGACTTTTTTTTTTAGAGTTTTTAACAATGCAGAGGCAGCTCTTATTGATATTTTTAAAACTTAATTATCATAGAAAATTTCCCATATTTGGACAGTTACTATTTTTTGAAACCTTCGAGAAAAAATTGGAAAGTTTTGGAGAATTCTTAAACACAATACGAAACAGTGTCGTTAGTATTTTGAAATCTGGCGGGATAAAAAAAAATAAATTAGTCCCAAACTCACCTTATCGCTTTTAGATGATTTTTTTTAAGGGTTTGTAACAATGAAGAGGCAGCTCGTATCAATATTTTAAAAATCTAATCATAATAGGAAACTTTCCAAATTTGGAAAATTTCTATTTTTGGATACTTTATTATGAGGAGAAATTTGAAACTTTTGGGAAACTAAAAAAATGCAAAACAGTGCCTTGTCTTATGAGATATGGCTGAAAATTAAAAAAAATAAATAACGATATCCAAGTCACTTTAACACTCTTCGACACTTTTTCAAGATTCTAACAATGCAGAGATGACATCATGAGAGAAAACTTTTCGGCAGAAAATTTGAAAGTTTTGGGAGTATTTATTCGAATAGTCTAAAAACTTTTCAGGAACGATTTCAAATTTCATCACCTGCTTTGTCCCAAAACAACAACCGTTCTACGGACTTTTTGCATTTATTTGGTAAATCCGTAGATTTGTCACATATTTTGCATTTACAAAAACTTTCTTGAGACAGTCCCGGTACTTTGAGTCTCGGTTAAGGCTTGATTAATTAATCAGGCGATTAGACTGTGATTATACTTTATAAAATAAATCAGTATATGTACAGTCTACTCGCCTCATTAGTTAATCAAGCTTTTATCGAGACTCAAAGTACCGGACCTTAAGAGATCCACATTAATTTAAGTCGCCGTCCGTGATGTGGACATAGTACGGTGTGCTTACGAGCATGTGACGACGTCACTAATGCGGCTATGCCGAAATCAAGAGCATATATTGCCATGGAAGTGCAACAACTTTGTTATTTTTCTAACAATTACCACATTTCCAGAGCCGTTACAATCTAAACATCTTCACAACATTTGTTTTGTTACGCAAAACAGATAACACTTCTTCAAACAAAATATTTAAGGTTACGTTAAATTTTAGAATCTGCATACTTGAACTAAATAAAAAAAATTATTAAAAAAGTTAATTTTATAATACTGTACTAGTATTAAAAAAAAAATTGAAAATTTCCAAAAGTTTCTTTAATTTCCTATTGAAAATTCCCCGAAATTTTCAAAAATGAGTAGATTCCCATCTCTACTGAACTTTGTCATTTTCGTCAAAACTGCCAATTTTTCACACTTCAAACTAGCGTGCTTTTTTCTATCAAAAATATGATCTCGAAAATGAACCAACCCTATATACAGGGTGTATTCTAAATTTTGAGTAAAAAATTGCAACATTTTCATGTTTCCCGAGCAAATTTGAAAAATTTTCCAGGTTGGAAAAGTGTAAGTTCTACGTCAATTTCCAATTTTTTAATAATCACCATTTCTCAATTTTTTTTATAAATTATTGATCTCTAGGCCAACCAATAGAGTGAAAAAAGACTGCTGTACTTCCTTTTGAAAAATTCTTAGTAAATGAAAACCTAAATGATTTCCCCAGCAAAGTCGTGAACAATTTTTTTGAAAACATTAAAAACTGCAAAAAATTATATTTTTTTGGTTTTTTATAATAATATCTCGAAAAATAATGACGGAATCGTCTTACTCTCAATAGGACTTTTGTAGAGAATAAAAAACCTATAAAATGGTTTTTTGTGCGACCCAATCGGTTCATTTTTTACAGAGGAAATTCGGAAAAATCTCTAAAATACGCTTCATAACTCCGTCAAATTTGAAGCTGGAAAAACAATCTAGCGGAAAATGACAGATAATATGCAGTTTAATCGTGCGCAAGATGGTTTCTGTCCGATGCATAGTTTTTGCACAATTGCGTTATAAACAAATTAGGGTCTTTTTTTGCACAGTGTGGCGATTTATCAAAAATGGTCCGATTTAAATTCTGAAATTGGCATCTGAAAGTAGACGACAAAATCTTCAATTTGTATATCTCGGATTTAAACCTAGGTGATGGGAAATATGTTAAAAATGCCCTTGAATGTCGCCCGAAACGCTCGAGCTAGAGTCGGGTAGCGGTAGAGGGGGAAGCAGAGAGTGGAGGACTCTGGCTCGAGAATACTTACGATCATTTCGGGCAAATTTCAAGGCATTTTTAGCACATTTCCCATCACCGAGGCAAAAACCCGAGATATACAAATTGGAGATTTTGTCGTCTACTTTCAGATGCCGTTTTCAGAATTTAAATCGACCATTTTTTATAAATCGCCACGCTGTGCAAAAAAGACCTTAATTTGTTTATAATGCAATTGTGCAAAATTATGCATCGGACAGAAACTATCTTGCGCATGATTAAACTACATATTATTATCTGCTATTTTCCACAAGATGGTTTTCCCAATTTCAAATTTGACGGAGTTATGAATTTTTGAAAAAAGGTCTATTTTAGAAGTTTTTCCGAATTTTCTCTGTAAAAAATGAACCAATCGGGTCACACAAAAAACCATTTTATAGATTTTTTTATTCTCTACAAAAGTCCTATTGAGAGTAAGACAATTCCATCATTATTTTTCGAGATATTATAAAAAAAACAAAAAAGTGTCATTTTTTTGCAGTTTTTATTGTTTAAAAAAAATTGTTCACGACTTTGCTAGGGAAATCATAAAAATATTTTTCAAAAGGTAATACATGAAATTTGCTGTAATATTTAAAGTGTGCCAAAAAATCTCTATTCCTCAAGTTTGTAAATGGGAAATATTTTATTACTTTAGAAAAAAAAACCATAATTTTTGCTTGTTAGTATTCCAAATGGCAATTTAAATGTATTGGAAAATTTTTTGTTTAAAAAAATGGCAATATGTACGTACTCCAAGAAGCAAAGTTTAAAAACATTTTTCAATTAATATGTGAAATTTTTGGCTGCGAAGGAAATATTACCCAACTTGTTATACTCATATAAATGAGTACTATAAAAACAATAATATAAAGTCTAATGCAACACAATGTAAAAACTTGAAAAAAATGAAGAAGTGAAATTTTTTCAATTTTTTTAAGTGAAAGTTTAAATTTTTTGAAATAAAATTAAAAATAGATGAAATTATTTAGGTTGAGCTTATTGGACATTAACACAAAAAAATTATTTGACTGGCAGCACCTTGTAAATAAAGACTGATTACAATAATTAAAACATAAAAGAATTCCATGAAAATCAGAGAAATTCCCCGAAAATTTCAAATTGGTATACACCTTATGTCCTATGTATATGGCAAATGGTACACGACAGAATCATGAAGAAAAATGTGGCTAAAATTTCATACACCCAAAAAAAAAAGGTGCTCCCTTCCGAGGACAAGTGCAAAATACGGAAACTGACAATATATCGATAACAAAAATGATTAAATACTCACACGCAAGTCATTTACCTTTAAATTACTAGTTTGCACGATATTATCTAATCTAGCATTGGAACTTTGCACAGCCTGTTGTAGGGGTGGTTGGTAGGTGAGTTGCTCTATGTGGTCCCCGGCGGGCTCCTGGTGGTTCGACAGCTCGTCTATGTGGACGCTCTCGTTGTCGGTGTTGATGGCCTGCATCACCTGCTTGGCGAAGGCGGCCTGCACCTCCTTGTTGTGGCTCTGCGGGGTGGGCTGGGGCGTCTGCCTGGCGGAGGATTCACCCGAGGGCGGGTGCGAGCTGCTCTGTTCGTATATCTCGTTCAATCTGTCTGTTCCTGCGTTTCAAATAAAAAAAAAAAACGTGGAGAAACGGCGAACTAACTCTCAGTAACGACAGTGTTTCGATTAAAATTTCAAGTGTTTTAACCCGTTTCATGAATTGACCAATAAATCGAAGACAATAGAACCAAATTATTCCGATATGTGTAAAACCAGTTTTACATTAATCAATTTTTAAGCCACTAAACCTTAAAACTTGCTATTTCACTAAGGTGCTCATGATATTAGTCAATTTATTGGACAAATTTAACACTACAAATTTTTACAATAAAAACTAACCATGATAACGGCAAACTGTAAACCACAATAGATTTATCAACGTACGCTGAACTGACAAACAACAATAACAAACATGTAAATTTAAATATTAAAAATAAAAAGAATTTACCTTTCAATGAATATTAAAATGTCTTAAAAATTACAAAGTTAAAAAATTTGCCACAATATAACTCTGGAACAATTTATTGGGTGAAAAATTATTAACGATTGTTCCGCAAAGACAGAGCAACAAAGACAGGGAGCTATATACAAGGGGGGACCCAAAAATAACCGGAATCATAATGCTGCGCTTCGTATACTTGTAGTACCAGGTTGCGCCGCCAGAGGCCAGTTGTAGGAAACTGTTGCGATGATGCAAACAGCTTACAAAGAACATGCTCTTTGTAAAACTCAAGTGTACGAATTGTTTTCTTGATTTAGAAAGGGAGAAATGGCGATTGAAGAGCAGCCCTGTTCCGGTCACGCTTCAACTGCTCGAAGCGAAAACAACATTGGCAAAATCCGTAATCTGATCAATGAAAATCGACGCAAGACAATCAACCAACTTGAGGACTTATTCGGGTTGTCCTGGAGCTCAATTCAGCGAATTTTGAAAGTCGATTTGCGCATGCGAAGATTGGCAACAAAGTTCTTGCCAAGACTTCTCACCAGAGATCAAAGGGATCATCGCATTCAAAAGACGATTCAAACTTTTTCAACAAAATCATCACAGACTACGAATTATGATGCTATGGGTACGATCCAGAAAGTAAACAGTCAAGTCGGTGGAAGTCAACTGGCTCACCTCGTCCAAAAAAAAGCTCGTTAGGTGAAATCGAATGTGAAGACGATGTTGATCTGTTTTTTTTTTTTGACATCAAAAGGATCGTACACTCAGAATTTGTCCCTCAAAACCAGACGGTAAACCAACAATTCTATTTGGAGGTTATGAAAAGGCTGCGCAGAGCTTTGGCGAGAAAACGTCCAGCTTTGTGGAATTCCGGCGAGTGGTTCCTGCATCACAACGCTCCCGCGCACACGGACTTCAGTGTTCGCTAGTTTTTGGCCTCAACGAAGACAATTATCTTGACCCACGCGCCCTATTTGCCAGATCTACAACCCTCGGACTTCTTCCTGTTCCCGAGGATGAAAAGGGACTTGAAAGGGAAGCGTTTTGCCGATGTCGAGCACGTAAAACTCAATGTCACGAAGGTGCTAGCCTAGCAGGTTTCAAAGAAGACGAGTTTAAAAAGGTGCTTCCAACACTAGAATGTACGTTTGGACAAATGCATTAATGCTAATGGAGAGTACTTTGAAGGAGATTAAGGTTGTATTTGAGAAACAATAAAGTAAACGCTTGCTACAAAGAAATTCCAATTATTTTTGAGTCCCCCCCCTCGTTTAACTCCACTATTCGTGCCACACTCACAAGACACAAGCTCACTATAATCTTTTTCCAAGTCCAAGGGCATGCATTTGTGAATTGTTTTTTCAAATGAAACGATATATTTTTGTATTTAATCTAATAGAAGTTTTTTCCCGATTAAATTTAACATAGAAGTTCAGGCCGATTTATAAATTCTCATTTTTTGGCAAAAAAATTGTATTAAAAAAATACCTTTATAGCTTGGGACGATTCTTTTGAGAAATTGGTAAATGTAAAACAGGTTTAATATACAGAATTCATAAATAAACTAAATGGCTAAATAATTCTTTTTTGGTACAAAGGTAAGAGGCGTTAAAATATAATATTTTTACCACATTTTATTTATTTTTAGTTTGACATAAGTCATAAATATATTATGATTTGCTTTTACCACGACTGACTTTAATTCTAAAATCTCGCTAATAAATTGGAAAATTTATCGAAACGTAAAAAGATAGCACATACACATCGAATTGGGATGACTTCTTTAACAATTTAATGGGTTCAAAATTGGCGTCCGTAAAAAAAATAGTTTTCCGGTGCGACACTTTTAATATTAAAAATAAGTCAAATTCCAAAAAAATATAGCATTTCCGTGATTTTAACGCAAACATTACTTTCCAGCACTTACATTTTTTTAATTTTTACTTAAAAATTCACAATATCAATACATGTTAGTAACTTTACTTTGCAAGACCAACTCATTAGGATACATCAAAACTGTACGGAGGATTTACTGTCACCCTATTCGTAGACTCGAATAGGATGAGGCGTTTTCTCCATTACTCTGGCACAAGTTCTGCTCCAACGTACTATGAAAGCGTATGTTGGCACTAGGCTATTTGTGCGACCCGCAAGGCAAAAATAGAATTAAATTTTCAAAAATTTGGAAAGAAGTAAAATCACGATCAAAATTAAAAGTAAGTTTTTATTCACGAAATTCACTGTTTCAAAAGATGGAAAATTCAGATTAGAATGCAAAAATTTTGTCGCAGTATTTAGTTATTGCGACAAAATTTAACTCTCTTGTGATGTCGCAAAAAGTAAAAAGAAACTACTCGGTAAAAAAACAGCAAATTTCCCGATTGCGGACTCCTCCCGATATTTAGAAAAACGTACTATTTCCTTACCTGTATTAGGATCTATTACGGCTATTGCATTAGGCCGCCGCTTATTCTGGTGTCTCTGGAAGGGTTGGTGCTGGGGAGTGTTGGGAACCATCGACACGTTCGGGATGGCTGCCTGCGTCGGGTTGGGGGTGGCGGATTGGGTCTGAGGAATAGGGCCCGTCCTGGGGGGCAACATCTGTTGATTGTAGTAATCTGAAAGAGAATCATGTTTATCAGAAGATCACCTACGACTGTTACCCATCATAAAAATTTATATTTTTTTTACTTTTTTTGTAATTTTTAAACCCCAGGACTGAATGGGCTAGTGTAATTACAAAACAACTGGGTAAACCACGAGCATATACCTAATTAAGAGCTATGGCATGCATTGTTGTCAAATTTCACCATTCCTCATTGGTATACGTTTTTCATAATATTACACATAAATTTAACAATGAAGACACACAAACACGCCATACCGTCACTGAACATTGAAATAAATAACTTAAATGACATACACTTTCAAACAAGAAGTTTCACTAAATTTTACTATAAAATTAAACTTAACAAAATATATATATAAAATAGAATGAAGTAGTACCATATTCGGCCATTTCTGTTCCGCCAAATTAAACATTGGATGTTAACAATGTTAATACTTACGTAGAGATGTCACTTTTTGACATTGTAATTGCGTTTACAGCGTAACAAAGGCCGGGACTTGTGATAGACTATTTGTTAGTTCTCAGAACGGACGGGCCAATTCGGTCAACAATAATAATTGAAAAGTTAAGGGTTTTCAAGTAGGTTTAGCGTCCCCATAAAGTCGTTGAGAAACTAGTGCCTCTTGTCACTGGGAGTGATAAATTTGCAAAGCTCAACCATCGCAGTCCTTCCAAGAAGGCCTCATGAAATTTAGCAGTGATTTTGAACAAGTAGACCTAGATCGTCGGGGCCATGTGTTGGGCATCTGGTATCGACCAACTGCGTCGGTTTAGCCCATGGTAAACGGGAAAATCGATATTTCTAATAACGCGAAATACATCCAAAAAGACGTAGGAATTCCAAGATATTTAAGTAAGTTGTTAGAATGTTGTGAGGAAAGTAATAATAGATCAAATAGCTGGTTTTTTGGCGGATTTTCCAACCTATAAGAATAGATTAAATGAGATCGACTAATCCGTCTCACGTTGCTATACGGAGTTACGAGAGGAAGCTGTAGGGTTACGTCTCTAACAATAAAAAAGCAAAATAATATACCGCGGGTTCAAAAATTTCTAATAGCATGTTGATTTTTCGACAACCTAAAATATTATTGACGCTTTTATTATTTCCCTAAAGTATGTAGCCATTTTTAAACACTTTCTGACATGCTAACCCACTATTTGAATCTAAAATAGAATACAGGTATATGATTAAATTTTGATGTCTAAATAATTTGGTTAATATAAAATACGGTTCAGTTCGATAGTCTTATTTTGACCTCAAGAATTTGTGGCGAATCAACCTACACGGGACATCGCAAAACATTTTATATTTTTGACGGTTCCGTACTTACAATTAATAGCTGGTTGGATAGGCGTTGTACTATACTGGAAAGACTGCAGGTGTTGATTGGGGTACATAGGAATCGACGGTGGAACAAAATTTGGCCGTTGGGTGGCGTAGAACTGCACAGCGTTCGTCTGCGGTATGTACATGGTAGGGAGTGGTACACACTGGGTCTGCGCTGCTCCGTACATTTGAGGGGGCTGAAAAGTCATAACGAACGGTAAAATGAATCAAATAAAATCCAATAAATAAATGTGAATACAAACAAAATACTCACCCTGTTATTGTGATTAGGCATTCTATGTGTTTGACTCGATGGTCCAGCCGTTCTAGGAAAATAGGTACCCTGACTCGATCTGACTTGCGGCTGAACAAACTAAAAATCGATATACACGTACAGTTATACCCCTGTCGCATTTAAAGACCACATAATAATAACTACAGTGTCGTTTCTATACAAATGAGATAACATGTGTATCAAAAATTGTAACTATTGATAACAACGCAATATCTTTAGGCCTGCTCGAGTAGCTGATTAGGTTAAAATCTTTAGTGCCATGAGAGTAATTCGATGGGACAGTGAGATTCACAGAATGCGTTCCTTATCAGTTAATTGGGGAACTGATAACTTTCTTTACACCGAAATACATTCAACTTGATAAAAATTTCTTTAAAATGTACACACAGAGAGAGAAAGTATATCAAACGTTTTTCAAATGCATGTCTTGTTTACTTTAAGTCTAATTCGCACCGACTTATCTGTTCTTAACACCATAATCGTAAAAAGTAAATGCAGAATAAATACTACTTAATACGAGTAATCTCCCTCATCCAGTCGGTTATTGAGAGCAGTAAATATTAAATTTATCAGCATCAGCAACACATTTGCAACAATTTCAATGTTGCGCACCCAACTGACATCTGAAGGGTACAGGAAAAGGAGCGCCAGTTTCAGTTCTATCAATTGTGAGACAAAGATGCTAATTAGTTTTGTCCACGCTTTACGTTCCAGGGCACAGGCTAATGTGCTCCAAGAAAGTAAACAACTCACAACTTTCTTTATCAAATTAAAAAATAGCACTGTTTAGGCAAGATTTTCTTTACATTCGATGCTGAGTAGCCACTACCACCTACAATAGTGATCAGAAATTAATTAGTCTTTAATTAATTATATTAATTAACAATTTCGACAACAATTATCAGATTAATCGTAACACGAGATGCAATTTTAAATAATTTAAATATACACATTGTCATATTGCTTTAAAGCAGTGGTATTCAACCATTGGTACAAAGGGATCCATAGGATAAGTATAGAAACGTGAAAAAATTAAGTTAATAATTAAAGAATTCCAATAGTTTCAAGTATTGTACAATATTATATAATTTTGTATTGATTCATTTTAAAAATAAAAACCTCAACTAGCATAATCCAGCCTTCTTATTCTCTAATCTATGTTTAAATTTCAATGTATTAATGGTAATATAGACACTAAAGCAATTACAAAAAAAAAAAAAAAAGATTTTTACCTACTACCTAAAGTCTAACCCTAACCTTTGGCTTTCTACTAACTCTAACTAAAACTAAAGTATATTTACTCCAACGCTGATTATACTAAATTAATGGGGTACTTGAACAATTTTTTTTAAATGTCTTTGAAGAAAAAAGGTTGAATACCACTGCTTTAGAGAATGACATAGTCAGTCATCAATGTTTAAGATACCTACGTCTTGCGCAAAGAATAAAGACCTTTATAAACTAGATGGTAATGGCCAATCCATTAGAAGAGTTTCAATATACTTTCATCTTATTGTACACTGAATATTTCTATATTTATTTTAAAAAAGTATTTTGTGAAGGGACCCGCTTTTCGTGTACCCTCGTTTATTGATGAGGGAAATATAAATGTGACAGACGAATATCATACTGAAATTGGAGAAAAATACTGCTATTTCAACAGTAAACTGAATAAAAAAATAAGGGACAGGGAATTTTTGCAAAATACAGGGTGATTATGATGAGCCTGTGTTGCAAACAGACTTTTTTTAGGCAAAACGATATCTTTCTAAAAGTATAGAAAATCACCCTGTATATTTCAAAAGAAAAATTTAACAAACAAAATCGTATTTAATTTATTTTTTAAATATTTATATCAAAAATTTTACTCACCTTCCAATATATACTTATTTTTGAATCGCGCTGTACAGATCAATATTCAAAGTGTCAGTTACGATATACAGTGTGGCCCATTAAGAATAAGGGCACCCCTCTAAAATTTTTTTGAAATTTACAATTCCATGAATTATTTTTTTATATCCAACAGCTTTCTAGATGTACTTGCTGAACCAATTACGATAATTCAGCAGGTTATCAATCGCCTGCTGCAATTTTTTTGAAACAGATCTTCCGAAAAATTGGATTGTTTTATTAAAAATTTGGCTGTGTAGCCAATATCTCAAATTTCATCGATTTATGACATTTTTTATAAAAGCTAATTTCTCATCTTCAGGCATTTCCACGGCCTTCTAAATTTTTAAATTAATTGTAAAACAGAAACTTATCTTCAAAACTTTAAGACTAAGTTTTGACCAAAAATTATACAAAAAGAAAATCCAGTTTGCGAAAATATAATCTCTACATCAGTTTTCACTTTGCAATCATCGTTACTTCCTCAATTTTTTTTATTAATATCACAAACGTATATATTTAACAAAATTAATTATTTCAAAAATGGTATATTGCAGCTGCCATAAAATTTGCATCAATTAGGGAATATTTTTATCTCTATTTTTATTTTTCAATTTTCGAAAAAACGTTCCCTTCTAATAATTTTTGCTTGTCTGAATACCAAATAAGGGCAATTTAGATATACAAGACTTTCGGCTTAGAACAAAATATTTTCATCACCTAAATTAAAAAAAAATAAAATTTTTAGAAAGATTAGATTAATATTATTAAATACAATAAATGATAGGATTTAGCCAATAAATTCTCACAATTTTTAATGTGATCTTATTTTTAATTTCGACAGATTAAAAAAACATAATTTTCAAAAAATAAGTTACCTATATTTGGTGCTTATTTAGTATTAACACAATTAAAAATTGTTAGAAATCTGTCCAAATTTTCTAAAGTAGTATAAAATAAATCCCAGCTAGGTATCAACTTTTCAAGTCATTATACTTAGATATACATATACAAGGTGAACCAAACTTGATTATAACTACAAGAATCTCAAAACTATTAGAAATACTGAAGCTTATAAGGACAAAATAGTGTTTAACATTCCGCTGAAAAAAATCGTTTTATCTTCATATCAACTTTATTAAAAAAAAAAAGTAAAAATTACTCTTAAAATTTGGCTATAACTTTTTGCAGTTCGAATGTGAAAATTTTTTTTAACCATTCTGACAAATTTTTTGTATTCCACTGGTTTAGTGGGTTTATTTTTTTAACTAATATTTTCGAGAAGCTAATTCTTTCATGGATATTGGATTTTAAACTATTATTGTAATATCAAAAAGAATTACACGGCGTTCAAAGGAAGGTTCAAGACTTTTTTCATAGGTATAAATTGCAAACAACCGAGTTAGACTTGATTTTTAAGTGATCTTCAACTTTTTTATATACTGGGTGATTCACAACTTATTCAAAAAAGTCAGGAATAGATGTGACATGAGAAATGGAATCAATATCGTAAAAAAAAATTTTGTAAAATACTTTTTCGAAAAAAAAAAATTATTGAAATTGTAGTACTTTCAACCATTACATAGCTGGACAGCAGCCTCTAGCGTCAATCGCAATACGCGTGGAGAGCCACGTGACGTCAACGACTCCGAATCCTGAAATCCGATTTTACAGTCGTCGTTGCCATAGTGTTTACAATAGTTTTTTAGTAGTTAGTGCCAAAAATGACTTGCGTGTATAGCAACTCGGAGTTGTTGGATATCGTTTTAATTTATGGTGAAGCAAGAAAACATTTGTATTATGGTGAAGCAATTGTGTTATGGTGAAACAAGACAGCATTTGTGTTAGTCCGTAGAAACTGAGTAGACTGGACCCAAATGGTGTTTACACAAAAATTTTGGACAAAAAGAAGTGTATTTTTAAATCATTTTTGAACTGCCCTCTTTGATTTTTTCTTTACAAAATTGTATTTGTAAGAATCCTCTGTACATCCACCATTTTATTTTTTGGATAAGTTCTGAATCACCCTGTATCTAATAGTTTCCAAGACGTTTTGCAGTGACAATAAAATTTGGTTCAGTAAAAATTTAAAAAACAAAAATTGATGTGTTAATAGCACAAACTAATTCTTAATAACAATCAACTGTCAACCAACAAGCATATTATGATAAAAGCGGTACAAATAGGCACTGTAAAGATAGTAGTAGTGTAATGTAGTAGTAGTAATGAATTTAATTTTCAGCCAAGTGACATCTAGAGGTAGTACCTTGTAAATAAGAAATAATTGGAGTTTGAAAAAATTGCATGAACATTTGAGACAATCCCTATTATTTTCCTGACATTTCAGATATACTTCTAAAAAATTCCCAGATAATCTGGATCGGCATACATCCTGCCTAAAGTGCTTTCCCGCTTGAAAAAAAAAATCCTGCTGAATAGTCGTGACCGGTTCAACAAGTAAATCCAGAAGGCCGGCCAATACATATAAACAATGATTCATTTGAACCGTGCGTCCCAAAAAAATCCAAGAGGGGCGCCCAGATTCTTGATGGGCCACGCTGTATACCGAAACGAACTATATCGAACGAACAGGTTTTCCACTTACCATAGGACTCATTGAGGGCGGCTGGGATATCGTCTGGACCTTGATGTCCGCGTTCGGCGGGGTGGAGGCCTGATTCGGTGGTATGGCGTTGGGCGCGATGCCCCTCATGCTAGGGCCCTGGTTGGCCCCCTGGTTCGGCTGTGGAACATATCCCGCAGGCGTCGACACCGGGAACCCGTCAGCTCCTTGAAAGAAGTAACTCATCAAAACACTGGAAACGGCACGGGACACAACAGGTAACTATCGGCTCCGGGAGCCTTTTGGCACTGCCGGAGCCACGTGCGGACCTCAGGCGGTCCCGTCGAGGGTAGGAGGGCGTGGTTAATTTAGCCCTTTGGGCCAGGTACAAGAATAAAGGGTTATTACTGGTACTTTCCAAAAAAAAGAGGTCGTTATGACAATTTCAAGTGATATTAACATCAAAAATAAAAAGGAAAACATGTCTTACTAAAACAAATGTAGTTTTTCACTAATTTATTAAGAAATTGAAACTGACTTCGCGCATCAAAAAAATATCAATGGATAAAATGAAACTAAATATGTTAGATAGGTTATAATAAAATCAAAGTGAAAACGCATGGTTTTATATAGCGGGTGTCCCAGAAGTAAGTGTCAAAGTCTTAACCGAGCAATTCAACGTCATTAAAAAAAGTATCTTATTTTTTTAAACTTTCAAGGCTAGCCTACTTTGTTATAGCATTGTTATTCGAGATAACATTCGAGATGCGCCTAAAATTTAATATTAATATTTTTGATTACAGTGTAAGATTTTGTCACAATATAGAAAAAAACCTGTTATAAATTTATTATAGTGGCAGAAGGTGTAATACTCGTTTAGGGTTTTATCAGCGGCGATTTACATCATCAAAAAATACAATAATTGTCTAATTTTTTTGGAAATCTAGTTTTTAGCATAAACTTTTGAAACTGTAAATTTTTATTACCCGTCACTGAAGTTGAGTTAATAATGAATAGAAACACACAAAATGGGTATTAGTGGTAGTACTTACAGTGTTAGAAAAACATTTTAAGGCCGTGAATCATTCAACAAAACATTCGCACACGTTGCTTCGGTATTTGTTTAATTCATAGGCAACTCGTTAGCGTTATTTTAATGGCCACAAAACACCGGACAAAAATGTGAGCTATCTCAAATATTTATTAAGCAAAAGACGCGTTTAATGCGTTAAATACGTGGTTAAATTTTGACACATACTTCTGGAATACCCTTTATAAGGTATATTTTTAATGCAAATTGATAATAATTTACTTTCAATGGATGTCTTGTGAAAAACGCAGTAGGCTATAATTCCGCTATTTTCTGTTAGATTTATATTTGGAAAAAAAAACAAAATATTGGCGTTAGTAGCTCTAAAAATACTACAAACCCACAGAATAATTTTTTTCAACACCTGCTCTAATGGAGGCGATTGTCATTTTTTTTTTCATGAACGAGAGATACATATGTTTTTACTTAACAATATACTGATTCCAAAGATATAACCTGATTTGTATAAAATTTATTTAAAAATCGACAAAATACTGTTTACTGTTTAAGTTGTTAAGAAAACAATTAAATAATTATAGAAATAAATCATTTAAAATAAGAAACAGGTTATCACGTCACGTGACGTATCAATAAAATTAACAAAAAAAAACAAATAAATTAAATAAACATAATTTTTTGTTAATTTCATAAAATTTGAAATTAAGTTTCCTGAAAAAGCTTATAATCGGAGATACATTGATTGATACCTTACGTGCTGGCAGATGACGTAATATGTTTCTAACCTTAAATCTATCCCTATGATGAATCAACTGTTTCATGGCACATATGATCATTTTGTTGCAACGTTTAAATATTCACCAATATTTTGCATATTTTTGTAAATTTTTCGCGAAATTCAAGTTATATATTATGAATTAACAAATATTTCATAAAAAATATCTCATTCTATTGAAAAATAAAAACAATCGCCACTCATTACGGCATGCTTTGAAAAATAAGTGATATTAAGTGCCAGTTTCTAGTATTTTTAGTCGTTAATGCTAATCTTTTTTCTCTTAAAATGGAAGCAAAAAATGAACGGGGTTATAACCTAAGACAAACGATATACAGGTCGTCAAAAATGTGGTAACAACTTTCCTTTTCAGTTAGTTCTGTTTTGTGTCGAAAGAATTTTGAACAATTGACTGTAACTTTATAAAATCGAGAAAAAATTTTGTTTCTCCACAAAAAAAAATTGTAGCATTTGCGCCAACTATATAAATGTCAATTAACTACCTACTTCCATGAAATTACTATATTTCCCATATTTTTCGAGATTGAAACCTCCCATTTCCCCAGAAATCCCATTAAATTCGACTCACTCGTTACACCTTAATGAATTAAATTCCTAATGGTTAAGAAAATAAATAATTATAACTTACTGCCGCTCGACTGTGATATGGACTGGTACCTGGATATCAATATTAAGGAAAATTAAGTAATACTAAGGCTATGTCAATAAGAATACAACATTTCCTACTTAAAGCATCATAATGTAGTAATTTAGCGCATACCTAGGTGAGCATTACCGATTCTACCTATTAATTAAATTCAAATAGGCGCCTGATATAAATAAGGCTTTCATGTTTTTCAATGATATCAGATATTGGTAAAAAAATGAGGTTGGTTCGCAACCTTCCAAAGTTTAAAGAACTTTTTAATTGCCTGCAAAGCAAGGGGCCCCAGAGCGTCCTTAGAGGTCGAAATTTCGACGCGATCGGGTACCGACAGAAATGAATCACCTTTCTACTGTTGAAATTATCGACCTCTAGACGTACCAGCCTGGCGTGCAACAAAAACAAAAATTCCAACTAGCCGCAGCTGAAATTCGCGAAATAACAGGGCAGGCCGCAACGCTTGTTTTTAAAAACAAGCTAAGTGTGCCGATAACGAGCATTACGAATACCGATAAATAGGTTTCGTACTTGTTTTGGCGTAATTCTATGCAGGCCCCAGCCCACCGTAAAGGCTGTGGGGCATTGATCCTCGGCTTTTGTTGGCAAATGAACTAATTACAATTTAATAATGACGGCCCGGGTATAAGCTGTTGCTAATGATTCTGAAAGCCTGGCAACCGTTTAGCAGGTAGTCGTAGGTACACAAAGTTGATACCAAAATATAACATTTTGCGTAGTTGTCTACGCGCTAACAGACACATTCCTCGACTGAAGGGATGGAATTTTTACGACTTAACTGTAATTGTAGTACGTGGGAACGATTATTCAAAAAGGTAGGTATATAAGGGTGATTGCCCCCAAAAATTAGTAACCAGATGTTCCGAGTTGCTCAAAATACTAAAAAAACAGGTGGGGTAACGTAATTACTACCCCCTAAAGCACAGTTTATGTTCTTTTTTCCACACGAAATATAAAGACTTTTCTGCCTCGAATAAATTTCTCTATGGAAGTAAAATAATATATGGGGACACCAAGAGGGGTACATTTTCAAGTTTCATAACTTTGTAACGATATACATTACTGTTTTCCGAAGATTTATTATTTAAAAAGGCTAATTTCTGATCGTAAACAATTTTTTTAAATATCTTAAAAAATACATACGTTTTAAAATGTACGTCACCATTTTTAAATAAGATAAAGTATAGGTCAGAAAAAGGTAAACACTTTCTATACATATATGTTTACCAATGCTGTAAATACGTTTTAATTCTTGAATATAGTTACTTTTGAAACAAACAAGCAATAAAAAACCATCTGCATTCTAATATCGACCTGATACCTACCTACATGCAAAAAAAAGATTTTACATCATTGATGATCCATAATCTTAAACTAAGTAAAATATTTTCCACTGTATGACATACGGATATCTAGAATATATTTCTCTGGGTATATCCTATATATTTTTTCTTTACTTGTAACGCTTTACAAGTAAATTAAATTGTGTTACAAAATGGAAGTGCAATCGTAAATATTTTTAAATATTTCCAGGGTAATTTCAACCACAGCAATTTGCAGTTGCTACATCACTTCCTTCAACTGATCTACATCACCAAATAGTACATTGCTTTAATTCCAAATAAATTTGAATATTGCTTCAGTATAACACAAAACAAATATTTAAATCGATGTCGGATACAGATTTTTGTGGATACTAGGTATATTTACTTTATAAAAAAAAGGAATAAATTCAATTCTTTGTCATTGACTTTTCTTAAAAAACTGATGGTCATAGTTTCGTTAGAAAAAAACTATTTTTATTTCCAGTTTCATACAATTATTTTCTTTGTACTACATTCAATGTAGATACAATTCTTTGTATAAAAATTATATTTTCGTTTCATAACAAGAATTTTGGCTCTTTTTAATTTAAAATGTGGCTTAATTTCGGGTTTTGATGGTACATCTTCGGGCTCCGGGTTAACATGCGATTTTTCCGGGTTTGTTTTCGTTGTTGCGGAAAAATCGTGATTTCTTCGTGAAACCATTTTAGATCTAGATTTCCTGATTGCGTTTTATTTTTAGACGTCAATTTCTTCGAAAACTATTTGTCCCTCAGATTTCCAGATTGCGTCCGTTTTTTTTAGACATCAAAATGCGTTCTTTTTTTTTACTGAACGCGATTTGAGTGTAACCACACAATCGATTTAAGGCTGTTGTCGAAAATTGATCATATTTGCTAGTATGAAACCTGTTGAAGCATCGTATACGCTGCATTTTATTAAATTTATTTTCAGATAACATTCGTTCTGCTCGTAAGTAAATAAAATTCCCGGTTCGGTTATACATATTTACAATTTCAAATTTCATGATGGACTTCTTAACGTATTTATTTCGAGTTACAATATAAAATCGTCAGTTCCGTGCTAAATCGTAAACACGGACCTGATGTTAATACACACGGAACCGACATTAACTTCCAACACTCATGAATTATAACACTAGGAACGTGAGTAGGTCTTTCGGTTGAAGATAAAAAAAAATACTGACGACGTAGTCTCAAGTCAAATATATTATTTTTAATGGAAACCATAGTTGGATATCAGGTAGCAAGGAAGGAAGATTCAATTATGTAGATTTTTCGCATATTTCCAATTATTTTGCAATACGCGCACAATTTGCACAGGAAAGTACAATTCTTTACATAAAAGTCTAATTTGATTGCACTAATACGTGAAAA